TTGTCCCAGCCGTCTTGGATTCGTGAGGAAGACGATGTTCCCAGGCTCCTACTTCTCTTCTTCTCGACATGTAATTTCATTTTTGTACAGAATTCGAATTTTCTGCATGTAATTTCATTTTTGTACTGAATTCGAATTTAGGGATTTAGGAATTAGGGATTCAGTTAATTTGCTTTGAATTCGAATTTGGGGATTTAGGGATTCGGTTAATTTGCTCATGCGTTCTTCTCCGATTAGCACAGTGCTAAAATATCCCGATAGTTTCGAAAATATCGCGATATTATCGATAATATCGCGATATTTTGACGAAAACCATTTGGATAGTTAAAAAAATATCGGACCCTCAAAAAAACGATAATATCGGCGAAATATCGCCGATATTATCGATTTTTTCTTCCTTGCTCATAACCCATCACTTATGTATTGAGGAGTGAGCCCTTATTCTATAAAAGGAACTCTCTCACCTTCAATGCCACAAGCCGAGCCAACCAAGGTAACATAAGCCACAAGCAGAGCAGCCTCGCAACATGTGCTACTTCTAGTTAAGCATCATTACAGATTAAGCACCGCCTCATATCCAGTATCAGTTCTAGACGACATTTAGTTACTTCGACCCACACATGGACTGAATTTCAAGTCTTCAGCCAAAAGACTCTCTTGACTGAAGACTTGGGGGACTATTGTTTATACCATACTTAGGGCCTCCGTGTTTAGATCTCGTACAATACTCGGAGGACTTAAATGTAATTATGTAATAAAGGAATGGGCAAATATGTAATAAGTGAGGAGCCATTATTCTATAAAAGGACTCTTCACCCTCACAATTAAGAAAGGCCAATTCTTAGGCCTAAAGCCCTCTCATCCTCTCAAAGCTCTCACTCTCATATTCAGAGCTCTTTCTCCCTTAGAAATACAATATCAATGTGGACGTAGCCCAAACATTGGGGTGAACCACGATATATCTTGTGTTCTTTACATTTCTTGCAGATTCACAGTCGGATTTATGTTGTTCCAAGACCTCCGATTTTGTGCATCAACATATTGAATATTTTTAGAGAAGAGTTATGATATTTCATGGAATATCTTTCGATGAATTTTTACAGCGGGTATTATTCTAAATTCTTAATAGCGGTCTGACTGGGAATTTGTTAATTATCTCACAGGTGGAGAAAGGGGCTTCTGTTTACTTAATAGGTTTAAGGGAAAAGCATTTTGGAGAATTCTTCCTAAAAGCCTCTTCTTGTGTTGAAGGTTCGGTATCAGTTGGAGCACTAAGCTTTGTCTTTAATAATTCTCAATTGAATTTCGATAACCTGTTACTCTAATCAACTGACTCAATGGCATATGGAATAGGAATGCATAGAGGTTTTTGTGAAGAAGGTTTGAAACATATTGCAAGATATGTAGAGTCGGTAGAGGTTTCTGTGAAGAAGGTTTCGATAACCTGTTACTCTATCTGCACCAGTTGGATATTGCAAGGTGCTGTTTCTAAGTTGTCATATTAATAATTACTCTGTATAGAGCTACTCTTTAGTTATTTACTGATTCTTGATAGATTATCTAATTGCTGGTTTAATTTGTCTCCGTTTCATGATAACAAGTTATTGGATTTATATCTCTTCTAATTGTTTTTTCTCTGTATTCTTTGAAATTGTTCTGCATATATAGTGTTCTATCTGCTTACTACCGTACTGAGGTTCCTGCTATTCATTTTTGAAGGTTGCGTTTGTGGAGAATCTAAATTCCGGTTCTACCACCACGATTATATTACTTTTGGATGGTCAAATCTTAGTTACCAATATTGGAGACTCAAAGGCCTTTTTCTGCTTGGAAAATTTTCAAATTCCTGCAGAGGCTAAAGGTATTTTTCTTTCTTTTTTCGGTGTAAAGGTGCATCTGTTTTAGTTAACATGGTTTATTGGGAACTTTATGTGATGTTTCTCCTCTCTTGCTCTCTTAAGATCATATAGTTTTCTGCATGCATGGATCATTGAGCGTGAGACTATTTAGTTTGTATGTGGAAAGATTAAAAGCCTGACAGAGCTTATCTACCTTCTGATGTTTGTGGTTATTGGAGCTGCTTATTTAAGATTATACATGAGGAAGGGCATAATGGTGTTATCTCATGTTGAAGGCGCAATAAAAACTTTGAATTGGCTTCTGCGGATGAGTTGGTGCATTTATCTGTTAAGGAATTGACAAGAGATCATCATCCAGACAGAGACGATGAAAAACTTAGGGTGGAAAGTGCTGGTGGAAATGTTCTTGAATGGGCTGGTGTGCCTCGAGTAAATGGTCAGCTGGCTGTTACCCGATCTATTGGCGACATCTCCTTTAAAAGGTAAGAAGTTAAAGAATAATAGGATTATTTTTAAAGTTTCCATTCCTTCTTTTCTTTCTATTGATCGAACAATGAAATTAAAAGATGTTCTGGTTTAAATATCTTGTCTTTTATGACATGTAAAACTAATTTAAGTTGCTCTTTACTGTCATCAATTTTGGTGTTGTATCGGAACCAAAGTTGACAGATTGGCAACCCCTGACTGTAAATGATACATATCTCGTGGCTACATCTGACGGAGTTTTTGAGAAGCAGAGCTTGCAGGATGTTTGCGATCTTTTGTGGGAAGCACGAAGTCATCATCCTACGAAATTGGAGCTCTCTTCGGCAGGTTCAAACTCATTAGCTGACCGCATTGTAAGTACTGCATTTGAAAGGGGAAGCATGGATAATATGGCAGCTGTTGTAGTTCCATTGGCATCTTCTGGTTTTTCTCAACCGGAGCCATTGCTACGTGTTTTCTCATTTGCAGCTAACAACTCCTCTTTAGTTCATACTGGGTAGATCTGTTATATGTTTTGCATTCTTTCGCAACTCGCTTGTTTTTCTCTCATACATGAAAATATGTCAATCAAATGTACATTCATTAGAAATGACTTATACGAAAGATTTTTCTGATTGATTCAACTGTTCAAATTCTGCTAGCACGAAATCATCTAGAGCTTTACTATAAACTTTGATTAGCTATTTGTGTTTTGACAAAACGACGAACATGCTTAGTACATACATGTTTCAAGCAAGGATGAAGCATGGAGATCATTTATGCAAGTACAGTCGTGAAATCGACGACTGACTTACCTCTACGCAGATTTCAGTCGTGGATGGAATTTTATTGAGTCAGCTAGCTTTTGTATCATGTGATCTTCTTGTTGCTTCAACTTATTAGTTGTAACTTGTATGGCAAGGCAAGCCTGTGAAGTTGATGTTTGTTCAAACATGTGTTTCCTATGTGTGTTTAAATTTATCACGTCTTATTAATTTTGTATGCTTATGAATATTATACCAAATGATTGAGCTAGCCTTTGTAACCTGTGATCTTCTTGTTGCTTCTACTTATTAGTTGTAACTTGTATGGCAAGGCAAGTGTCACATCCATGCCCGGGCCCCCACCACATCCCGGGCTCGACTCTATCATAGCATGATATTGTCCGTTTTTTGTTCCGACCACGTCCTCACGGTTTTGTTTATGGGAACTCACATCCTGGGATTGCTCTCGCGCGAACTCGCTTAACTTCGAAGTTCCTATGGAATCCGAAGCCAATGAGCTCTCAAAAGGCCTCGTGCTAGGTAGAAATTGGAATATACATATAAGGCTTGCATGATCCTCACCCCTAGGCAATGTGGGATCTTACAGCAAGCCTGTGAAGTTGCTGCTTGTTAAAACATGTGTTTTCTATGTGTGTTTAAATTTATCACCTCTTATTACTTATGTATACTTATGAATATTATAGCAAAAATTGAGTTGCACATCCGTTGTTGCACACCTTAATTTTTTATGACATTCGAATTGAAAAAATTAAAAAAAAAACAAGAGACAGAAATAAGAAAATTTGTTTCATAAGAAATTGAGTAAATGTTGCTCTTATATAGATATAGATGCATAACTTATTTATCTTGATATGAATCTCCGATTAAGTTAGCTCTTCCAAACTTCACTGCTTTCTTCGTCACACTTTACTTAGGACCTCGTAGCAGAGGTTTTATTATTCGGAATGATCTCGTGGGCTAGCTTCGTGCCGGAGTCCTTTTTTTTTTAACTCAAAGTTCAAATTTTATCAAATTAGTATTTTCGTTTGGAAATTGCACATATATAATATACCAATTGAACAAAAAAGATTCAAAGTCAATCACTTACACCTGGACATTGCTACATGTGGTAATGTGACACTGATAGTAAATATTTTGTTACGAGGATAACTTGTGTAGAATAAATTCATCGGTACGTACCTGGTATATTAAATGAATAATATAATATTATACGGAGAATCACATGTTATTGAATTATTAGATTAAAATGTTTGATATCAATGTGCCTATTCATGTAAGTTTTTTTAATTTGTGTTATAATTTAAGTAAACGACATCAAAAATTATATATCAATCTTATTGTCTACCAATATGACCAAAATTTGGTGTTAGATATGGACTTGGATTGTCTGCCCTCCAATTTCTATGTCCTCTTCGTGCCCTTCTATTTTTGTGATCACGGTTAAGCCACGTCAATATTTTATATTACTATTTTTTTTTGTTTTATTATTTTTATAAAAAAATAATATAAAATATTAACGTGGCTTATCCGTGACCACACAAAACAGGAAGGTACAAGAGAGCACCTAAATGGGAAGACAGACAATCCAAGTCCGTTAGATATGAGACCGCCTGATGTCGGCACGATGTAACACATTAGACATAAGATCCATTTTTCGTTGACGTGAAAGCCACGCTTTAATGGACAAAAAAATAGTTTGATTAAAAAAAGAGAGTTAAATATAGAAAGAGAAGTTAAAAATAAAGAAAGGCCTAAGACGTGGATGACAAAAAAAGCAACATCGGTTCTCACTCGACCGACCACGCAGTACTGGTTTTCTAGACTTCATCATATAATAAAGAAGGAAGCTAAGAGTCTAAGACGTGGATGTGTTGTTTAGCTGCCACGACTCTCGTGACTCTGCGCACACACCCTACAAAACAAAACGTCTACTCAACTTCTCTCTCTCTCTTCACTCTCTCTCTCTCTCTCTGGATTTTGGGTGAGTGCTAATCCTCCCGACTGCTCAAAGCAAAGAAATTAATCTCAAACTCGTACCCGATCATGTCTCGCCTGAAGAACGACTGCTTGTCTTTCACTGTTTCATTGCAAGAGGGTCTTCGTTATGTTAAGGCATGCTTCGTTGGTCAGGTTAGTTTGTTTCTTGCCTTAATGGCTTAGCTATTTACATACGTGAGTGTAACCACATTGGCTAAAGCGGATTTGAGCCGTCCCACCGGCTGGAACGGATTTTTGACGGTTGATTGATGTTGGAGCAGGCTAAGAAGTTGACTGCAAGGAATGAGCAGGAAGCAACAGAAGCAGAGCTTCAGACAGCCAAAATGCAAGTTGAAGCAGCTGATGCCGCTGAGGATACCAAAAACAGACTCCACAATTCTCCCTAATGTAATGTAATTGCTCTAACAGTTCCACCTTTCTTTCTTTTGTTATAATTAAGCAGAATATTTTGCAATTTAAAATTTTGAATTGATTTATATTGTTTGATTTCTGAATTTCTCTTTCAACTAAATACTTTTGCCTCCAAATTAGATGCATTATCCTTCTTAGAATATAACAAGAAAAATTGTTGCTTCACATCGTACCAATTAATTTGGGATAGTATAGTATTCACCTATTTTTACTTAGGAAAACTAATGAAAAGTGGTTGAAAATTTTAAATTTTAACGAAAATAATAAAATAAAGGGTAAAATGAATAGTAGCATGATTGACTTTTTAGTGTTAAAATGTGATTTTTGTTAAAATAAATAGTACGGGAGCTTTACATTAAAGTTTCCTTTTTACTTCCCATATTAATTTTTGCCAAAAATATTTGAACATCAATCTCATAAATATCATCGATTTAGATTGATATCATAAATAGTATCATACCAAATTTCATCGGACAAGGATTGTTTGCCCTCCACTTTCGATGCCCTCCCCGTATTCTCTTGTTTTGTGTGGTCACAGTTAAACCACATCAACATTTTATATTGTTTTTTTATAGATATAATAAAACAAAAATGAATAGTAATATAAAATATTGACGTGGTTTAACCGTGACCACACAAACAGTAAGGCACGGGGAGGGCACCGGAAGTGGAGGGCAGACAATCCTTGTTCAATTTCATCAATTGAATCACTTTTTCGAGAAATACAAGAAATTGATTTTTTTTTCAATCCATTCGATTCGATAATAGAAAATTGAGAGAGATGTGTGAGAAGTCAAAATATGTGTGTGGATAGCACTACCTTTACTTTAACTTATTTATGATGTGTAAATAATGTGCATAAAATACACACAACAAATAAGAAATAAGAAATCGCCAGAGAGTATGATAACTTTAAGGTATTTATACATTAAATTTTAATATTATCCTCATTAATTTGTGTTAATTAAAGAAGCACAGATATAATTTAGGTGGTACTGGAAGAAGAAGAAGATGATGGACCTTCTAAACGAATATAGTCATACATGAGTCCGTGGAAAGGTGCCAAAGGGCTACTGCTCATTGGTTGCGTTAGAAATAGGGTATTGGCTCCTTCCACCAGCAATGTGCCTGGTATATCTATGTTATACAGCCGGTACAGACCATGGATTCCATGCCTGGCAATTGTATTGTCGTTTCCAATCACTCCGGTCGTAAACAGCGGAGGGTCGGCTTTCGAATCATTTATTCGAATCTTCAATAGGAAAAGAACAACAAAAGCAACCAGATTAGTTAGAGCTTTGGTTACACTTACATGCAATTCTACACGTAACATGTACCTGTAATTCTGCAATGTTTGCAGTGGCAAGGGCTATTCGAAGTTTGAGGGTATCACTTTCACTGAAATGCTTAAGTTGAAACTTGATTTGCCATGTAGTGCCTTGATATGTGTCTTCATCTTTCTTCCTATATATTGTGAAACAAAAGGCTCGAAGTTAAGGCTACGGATTTAATTTCGAAATTTATTTGTTAATTTAACTACTCACAAAGAATGACACATTGAGAAAGCAAAGCCAAAGTAGGTTAGGAAGAACTCCACCTAGGAACCTGGGCGAAGAACCAGTCTTTAGTATAGTCACTGGTGCCGATGCTGTAAATTAAATCTTCATCAGGATATAACTCTTGATATCTTTCCCATAATCCGTACTGCCTAAACCTGAAAGTGTAGGTAAGAAAATGATCAAGATCTTTTATGTAGTGGAACATAAAAAAAGTTGAGGTTCCACCATAAAACCAACTAACAATATGAGAAGTAACCAACTACTTATAAGCACGTGCAAGATCCCTTCTTTCACCGATGTGGGATTAACACTCTCAACCAAACGTACACACACATATAGGAAAATGTGTTAGCAAATGAAAGGATGACAAAAGAAAAAAAAAACTCATTGCAAAATTGTTCTTATTCTATTGACTAAACAAAGAAGAACGCAAACTTCTATAAAATCACAAAAGGTGTGTTTATAAAGAGACCTGATCTTGAAACAAAAGGGTTCACGATTAATAGGAAAGCAAATATAATCTATATCCTATTAACTAGAAAGCCCTAATACATAAAATACTACCAAAGAATACCCTAACATAAAAATAAACCAAATTGCTAACTTGCTAACTTTTCCAACAAAATGTTCTCTTGGTTCTCTTGCCAGACTAATGTTTATGTTGGTAGCTAATTGTTAATCTAGATCACACATTTAGGCAAAAGCCAAAATCAAGTTGATGAATGGTGGCAACTAGCCATCTTATCTTTGCCAAAGATGTCTGGTAAAAGAACATTTATTTGTGATGTATGGTCGCTTATACGTTCACGTAAGTACTGTGGTAGTCAGATGTAGGTTGCTGTGACTAAATTTAAATCCATAGAGATGGAGTGGTCAGTTAACCAAGCTCGAAAACTAACCTATCAGGATGGTTGACATAAAGTTTATTGATATACATTGGATTAGGATCAGGAACATAGAATTCAGCAGCAGAACGATCAGGGATGCCAATTTCCCACAACGTTGGTCCATCTCTTGGAGGCTCATATACAATATCATCCACATCAATATCACAACCTGCTTATTAATATAGACATATATTAAAGTATTGATCATAACGGTAATTCATCAAGTCTTCTGGAAAAGAAAAATACGAGAGAGACCTGCGGTTATGCTAACAGTTGCGTCATATCGATAATCTCCAATAAAACCAGGACACCATGCATAGAGATTATAGTCACCCTCGCGTATATTCTGTATGGAGTAATATCCTTTCTCATCTGCCCTTGTCCAGAACTGGTAGCCCTGATGTATAAAATGCAAACATTGTCAACCAATTGAGTTGCAATACTCTTTCCTACTAGTTCCCTGTTTTTTCGAGTTCTTGGAAAACAGTACTTGCTCGGTTATGAAGTTGAGAAAACAAATCACCTTACAATCTCTTTGCCATGATCCAACGTCTCCTGGTGGTGCCAAGCCTACATACGCACCGTCTCCAGGTACGTGATCTTTACTAACATACCTAGACATGCATAGATTTAAGTAAAATTTTGGACGAATTTCACAAAAACTGAGAGTAAAAGACGGTATGCAATTCTCATGATCATTATTTACTTCCAGTAATATACTAATTAGTTAGCTTAAGTAATATTTGGGTTAAGTAATAGTACCTATCCAGAATCTGTATTCTACCCTTAACATTGCCCCGTTGATCTGACGGCGGATAATCCTCGGAGGCAGGAAACTTGTAAGGCCAGCTTTGCACTTCTGTCATCATCTGAACGTCCAAAGTATATAATCTAGCTACTTATTAGTTATTACTCTAAATTTTTTGAATTAATGAAATTAAATACTTTTAGAGTTGGTTTGTTTAAATTACAAGAAAAGGTCGACCTGTTTTTTTGCATCATCCCAAAGTGGTGATGGATCAGTTGCATCGGACACAGAATTAAGATAAATGAATACAGGACCAAAAATTTTCTTCCATGGCTCATCTGGTTTCAGCTTCAGCACTAGGTCTTCTCCTGAATAATGAGCGCTAAGAAACATCTGCTTTGTTGTATTTTCAACAATATAAATCAACGTATTTCTAAGAAGAAAAAAAGTATAATATAGTTAATTCAGTAGATTTTTTCAAATATTCTATTCTATTAAGTTTTCAACGTGAGATGTGCATCATGTATTTTGTAACACTACTTATTGTCAATGAATGCAACCAGGGCGGAGCCAACTAGTGACTGCCCTGGCCTTTAGCACACCCCAAGTTTTAAAAGATGATTTTTTTTGCCATTAAGATAAGCATGCTATGGTCTAATATTGTACAAAACAAGAATTTAGCCTACCCTCAATGTTTAAATTTCACTACATATTCATATTTTAAGAAAATTGAATTAGTTCACCCCTATTTAAATTCCTAGCTCTGTTGCATGAAAGTTGAAACAGTTTATATAATTTACCGCAAGGCAAGTGGGGCCAACATGGGAGGTGAGATTCTGTTTGAGAGGTCCACCAGATCGAAATTCATCACTGGGCGTTATTTGCCAAAAGCCAATGGGTGGGTCCATACATACCCAACCATGAACATGCAGGTTTTGATTCTCGCAGGAGTATTCATACTTATCATCCACCTACAATTTGCAATTGTATTCTTTTTATTATTAATGAATATCGTACTTTTCTTCGAAAAAACCTCTATGAAATTTTGAAAGTATACAAATTTGGTAAAGCCTAACCTTACTAAACCAACCTTAAACCCTAGTCTTGAACTCTGATACAATTAAGTTCAAGAATATTTTCGTAATTAACCCTAGCTAGTAGCTAGACCTCTTTTATAGAGGAGGAAAGATTTACCTCTCCCTTGAATTCTGGCTCTATAGGATCGACAAGAAGGACTGCTTCAGGGTAAGCTAGGGCTTGACTTCTCTCAGGTGATCGATCGTCCGGAAGGGGCATGTATCTTTGCCTGTTATCTGCTATGGCCATATAGTGAAACCTGACAAATCACCCACCAAAAATATTATAGATAGTTAATTAGCATTCCCAGTATATAACATACTAGCTTATATACAAAAGTTGTTAACGTTACATTATTTGAACTCAAGATTTCATAGTGCTGTGAAGCTGAAATATGATCTCTTGCAAGGAATCACAATTTTTAACAACAAAATAATCATTTTGCGTTCATACTTTGCATTATGGAGGAACAACGATTACTATTTTTAAGTGTCGATAACGACGACTATAAATTATATAGCTAACTTGATTATAGATAGAAAACAATGAAGAAAGTTTTCGCTACTTTTCTTTTCTGAGCTTGAAGGTAATCCTGGTTTGTGGAAGGTTGAAAGGAGGCCATTCTTTCAAGTGCTCATAGATGGCATATGAGTAGAAGCCTGAAGAATTACGAAGCATTATAAATCTGCAAAATGTAATGTCATGTTATCAAGATTGTGACACTCAATTATTAGTTCGAGTTTTTCATTTCTTAAGAACTACATGAATTATTCAAACCTTTTATCTATATTGAGAGGGACAAGTTTTCCCTCTTGAGACGGATTCCACTTTCTTGTGAAGGAGATCTCTACTTGTTCCTCGTTTTCCACTCTAACCTTGAATTTTGTCCCTTTAATCCTGTACAGGAGCCATAATTATTGCTTAGAAGAGAAGCCACGAACACTACAAGAAAAGTTGACAAGATCGCCACTAGCATTATTGTACAGAATGAGGTGGGTAAAGGCAATGTTCACCCTTTAGCCACTGATAAGGTTTTATCCACCTCATTTTGTACTACTAATATGTTAGCAGCTATTGCTAACTTTTCTTGTAGTGTTGACTAAACGATTTGATACAAGAGATATAAAGATCAATTATTTAAAGACTCTTAGATTAAGTCCAAAAGCTTAAGCTGCTATTGGATTTAGTACAAATTCATTTTCTTATCGATTTAGGTCCAATGGACTTTTTTTCTGCCACATTAGGATTTAATCCAATTGGCTTGCAAAACTGGATTTACGTACACATCAAATGTCCCGGTTGTGCCCACACTTCCTGCTTCACTCCAAACAAGGTCCCAATACCTTTAAAGTTTCAAGTTTCAGTATAAGTAAAACTTTTCATACCTAATTTTGGTACTGTTTCAACATTGATAAACGAAGAAAAGAAGAATTGTAAGCAGTTACATGGTGAAGAAGTATATATACCCTCTATTTACTTCTTCATTTAGAACTTCGAGCAAATTGTCGATGCCACTGTATTGTATTCTGGTAACAATTCCATCTGGATTTGATAACGTAACTTGAAGTATGCCATTATCCATGACCACCTGTTTGCGAAAAAGGTTCAATAAGATACGCAAATGACAATTTTTTTGGGGTCATCAGAAACTTTGTTTAGGTTAATTTGGACATAAAACCACAATTTGGTAATGCCAGAAAATGCTCATTGGAGTGAAAAGATAACGGAGATTTCTCTAATTAAGCCTCTAACCTATGTGTGGCTGTACTTGCAAAGTTTCTAGTGATACTGGGAGAGGAGAATCGAATTCGAGAGCTGGAGCGAACTTTTGTGAATGCTCTAAAAAAAAAAAGAGGGTCGTCCTCAGTGCACAAGGCTCCCGCTTTACGCAGGGTCTGGGAGAGGTGAATGTCGGCTAGCCTTACCCCTATTTATGGAGAGGCAGCTCCCAAGTCTCGAACCCGAGACCTACCGCTCATGGGCGAAGGCACTTGCCATCGCACCAAGTGCGACCTCTAACTTTTGTGAATGCTCTGTTAGGGTAAAAATTTGAGTGCTTCTGTTTTAATCTAACATTTGGCTAGTCCACTCAACCTATAAGGTTAATTATGTCACCTTTATTTTTATCAATCATGAGTTTGAACTCATTGCCACCTCTGTCAAAATATAATCTGGAAGTTAGATTTCACTATGATGACCACAACCATATGGTAATCATGATTGTCTGATTGGCTAGCCAGTATTATTTTGTCTGAAATTCCAACAATTTCGAAGTACACCCACACACTTGGTTTACCATGCATATTGTAACTTTCATGAAGTTTACGTAGAAAAGGGCCATAAAACAAAACCCATATATATGAGGAAGTGACGAGATCATCAAAACAAAATTAACATCAACTTAAGTAGCGCTGTATCATAATTTGCATCCTGTTAAACATCCTAAGACCAAAGATAGAATCCTTTCACTTCGCTTAACGATCAAGCTAATCTTGAAATACATGCATATATATTCATTAGGGTTCTATATATATAGCATGATATGAAACTTACATAACGGTCCTGAATAATCAGTCGAACCCCTTGAGATGACATAGTGAGGCTTCGACGGATCGATCGCTAGCTATATCGATCTTACAAGCCTGCTGCTTCTTTGGCAGAACAAAAATCTCAATGACAATATTTGAGGCTTCTTCATGAATTGCTTATATATAAAGATGCTCTTATCTTTCTGCTGGTGCTGGGTTTTCTTTAACTTGAAAATTAAGCGTTCTTTCTTTTACTTCTCTCTTGCGTGCGATTTGAAAAGTGCATTATTCATCATGTACAAAAAGCAAAAAGCCGCACCAAACCCATCAGTCATGAACATATGTGTGCATATCTGTTCCTTCTTTAGTTTACGATTAAAAGAGATCATAAGGTTAACTTTGGGCGTATGGATGTAGTTTAATGATTTCAATGTGATGTTTTGTATACCTCACCAAATATTCTTGATGCCTTTAAAATCTGAAGTTGATGTCGATTGATTAAACTTTCTTATTCATATATATATATATATATATATATATATATATATATATTGTTGCTTGCACAAGGAAAAACTGCATAGTGATTAATGTTTGGTGACTAATTAAAGTTTCGTTTGAGTTCCAGTTTTTGTAGAGAAAAGGAAAAGGAGGTAGAACTGGGAGGGATAATGGAGGAAAAAAATAGAAAGTATGAATCCAAACTTTTTTTTAAGGTAAGAAACATTTCAATAATAAAAAAATATTACTCTTACCGTTGTATTATCATTTATACAATCTTTCTAATAGAGATGAGACTCACATGTGTTGACGGGTCCTACCTCTATCAGAGAAATGATAAAATAATGGTGTAATTAGGTGGTAAGTGTAATATTACTCTTCAATAATTAAATAAATGGAGTTTTAACGAAAAGTTCACGGTACTGTTCACTTTAACGAAAAGCCATATTTTTACACTAAAAGTCAAACATGGTACTATTCATTTTACCCTTTATTTTGTCATTATCATTAAAACTCAAAGTTTTCAAGTTCTTTTCATTAGTTTTCCTTTAAATTAAAATTAGGAACATCATAACAATAGTATCATGATTACAACCACAATAAAAATAGGGAAGTGTTATTGGCACTCAAAAAATCTCATTCTACACTCTTTACAAGTGTATTTTTCTTTCCAAATAGAAAGTTTGGAGTGTAAAATGAGATTTTTGGAGTGCTAATAACAATTTTCTAAAAATATAATATAAAATTATAGCCACATAATCACACATAACTAAAAGGAAAGGCAACGCTCACGAGGACAAAACTTTTCATCATCTTTGATGAACTTGGAAAAGACAATGCTCATTGACAAAGAAGTCTTGCTATGAGGAATCATAAAGATGTTTTCATGGTCCTTTGCCAAGGGAAAAACAACATCACAAACTAAAAAAACCACAAAACATAACAAACTCCTTGGAAGTATGATTTCTAAACCACGAGTGGCCCACACGTAACCAACAAGAAATATAAGCTGACAAGGCGTAAACTCTACAAGATGGACACTACTAAAAAAGGGCCTTATTGTGTCGGTGGTTGGTGTCGGTTTTATATAACATAGTGGCGGATAAGACATTTCCGATACCTACTTAACAAGGTGTCGGAATTATTGTCGGTTATAACCGACATAAACTGTTAATGTCGCTTATAAGCGACATAGATTTTAATATTTTTTAAACAGTGGTGTCGCATAAAAAAAATCGTGTCGCTTGTAATTGACATAAAGTTAGCATCAGTTAAAAGAAGACTAGTGTCGCTTCTATCTGACACTAATGAAAGTTTTTAAGTATTTTCATAATATTTTCAAAGTTTGTGTCGGTTGTAGCCAAGGTATAAAATATCGATGATATCAGAAATATTGGTAGTCCAAAAACACGGAAATTTCGATGGAAATATTGGGATATTATCGATATCGATAAAAATTGAATAAAAACCATGGAAATTTTTATTGAAACTTTGTAGGATGTTTATTTAGTCAATTATCTATTAGTTTATCACAAAAAAAATTGGAAGGAAATGCATTGCATGATGGATTTAACTGATTTAAGTTGATTATATAGCGAGCTAGCAAACATTGTGAGTGTAGAAAATATGTAGTAATTAATTAAAGAAATTTAAACACACCATAATCATTTATATATTTGTTGTAGCCGACATGGATAATTTGAAATATTTAGGCGGGAATTTTCCCGCTTGTTTTGCACGAGGAAATGGATTGAGAAGAGTTTGCAGTCAGTGTTAGACTTAGTGTCGGTTTTAACCGACACCAAGTAAATTTAATTTGACGCAGGTTTCAGTATCCATAATGTGTGTCAGAAGATGATGTCAGTTATAACCGACACCAAATTTCATCTAAACCGACGCCACTTGAATTTCAATAAAGTGTGTCAGGAAGCGCCTTCATTTAATTCGAAGTGCATATTAGTAAAGTGTGCCAGAAGTTGGTGTCAGTGTTAACCGACACCAAGCTAAATTTAATTCGATGTCAGTGCAATCAATGTCGGTTTTAACCGACGCCAACTCAGTATCCATATTTAAACCCATTTCACCCGTGCTTTCATTTCTTCCCCAATTTTAGTCTTTCTCCTTCTCTTTCTCCTTCTCCTTCTCCTTCTCCTTTCTTCCCCCATTTCAGTTTTTCTCCTTGTCCTTCCAGTAACGTTTGCTATGGATCAACATTTTGAGGAACTCCATTTCGAAGATGAAGAGTTCGAAGGTGGTTCATTTTTAAATTATTATGATTATTAATTTCAATTTCTGTTTTGTATTCTAACTAGTATTATGCTTAAATTGAAAATTGATTTTTGTTTCTTGGTTCTTAATTGTTTTTTTTCTATATTTATAAGGATCAGATTAATGGAGATGCGGATCCTCAATTCCCAATTGTAAAGAATAGCCTTGTTCATTTGATTCGTCTGGAAAATGCATTAGTGATAATTCTAATGCTTTTTCAAAACATGGAGCGGTAGAGATTAGAGATCACAGAAATCTTCCATTTATGATTTATTTTATTATACCTTGAAATTTGTCTAATAAATTCTCTTATTTTTCAGGAGATTGCTGTAAAAAAAAATTTAAAAAAAGAGCATAATCGACAGTTTAAAACAATGAACCACACAATTGATTCAAAATCTTTTGCAAGAGTTCAGGAAGAATATGTATAGGTTGTACATTTTTAAGAATTGTAGTTAATTGTAGTTATGGTGGATAATTGTTAGTGTTTGGTACTATTGTTATTGTTAATAGTTTTATTAATGTTTGCTTTGGCCTATATATGAAATATGGTGGGAATTATTTATATATATATATATATATATGTATTTTTTTTAATTATTAATAACTAAAAATTGAAGCTAATTTTTTTTTTTGTATTATTAATATATTTGTTGTAAAAACCGTGCATGAGGCTGCAAGGTTGCACTAAACAATGACTTAAATCAATTCTAGTTTGCGAGACGGCTCAAGTGGCGATCAATCCAAACTATTCTTCTCATCTTCCTCCCTCCCTTGGTTTCATGGTTTCACATCAAACACGAAATCTGACAAATTTTTTCTTCCTCCCTGCAATCAATTGCGTGGCTCTTCGGAAAATTTAATTCATGGGTTATAAGGGTGTTTGGAAAATACGAAAAAAATCGTTTACTAAAAAAAAATTCTGGGTTTATGGGCGTTTTTTTTTTAGGTGAAGAAAAGTAGGGGTTGGGGATGGGTAGGACGGGGGTAAAGATCGGGTTTTTGGGTGTTTAATGAGTTAGCTTGATTGATTTTCTGCGTAAGACAAACAAATATACTTGTTTTGAAATCTGAGATGCAAGAGGCGAGGGGAAGGTGACACAGAGAAGAAAAATAGGACGCAAGCAACATCGATTTATTGGAAACGGTGAAGAGAAGAAGGTGAGGATTAAGAGAGGTGATGAAGACGATGAAAAAGAAAGAAGAGTTCCGGAAAGAAAAAAAACAATTATTAGGTGGTGTCGCTTATGGGCAACATTATAGTGGTTATTTTATTTATTCAATTATCAGGATGTGTCACTTTTAAGCAACACTGTTGTCAGTACTTAATGTCGCTTGTATCCGACGCAAGCTTCGATGTCACTTTTAAGCGACGTTGTTGTTCTTTTTTATTTTATATTACTTTGCTTCTTAAGCTACGTCAATTCCCTTTTCGTGGCAGTAGCATTGGTGTCAGTTCCTCTATTTGACATTGCACGATTTAATGTCGGATTTTTACCAAAAATCCAACAATAATTGGGGTTTCTTGTCGGTTTTGCCACTGCCAGTGATATCCCCTTTTGTAGTAGTGGGACCCAACACCATCGAATACACAAGGTAAACATCGTATCATCCACCTGAAGACCTTGAAATGAGAACGATAAGAAAACAAGCCTATGAATCAAAGCCACACAATTGACGCCCATGAGGGAAAGACTGCACCACTTTTTGATGATTTTGCAATTGTTGAGAAACCCCACTTATTTCTTACGAGTCACTAAATCAATTTAATATATGAAATGTCTATAAAATATCATCCTATGATTAACCTTTAAAATACACTTCCAACAATGGCTTAAAACCATTTCAAGAGCTCCAAGTTGATGGGGCTTTCAATGGATCATTGAAATTTGGTGGTGTTGATGTTGTGTTTTGAGACAAAGCCATAGTCATAGGGCTATTTGTCTGAATGGTCTCTCCATATCACTAGTCCAAAGGCTACAAAGTTCATGTCATCAAGGGAGGGTGTGCATCTCACTTTAGAGCATCATCAAAACCGCATTCAACTCGAGAGTGACTCTTTTCAGCTAGTTCATGCGATTGGAAGCCCTCAAGAGGAATCTTCTTCTTTAGGTCTAGTTGTTTATAACATTAACCATTAGCTTCGCTCCTTCGATGATTAACAGTGTCCCATCATTTTACCAATGTTGTGGCACATCGTTTGGCCAAGTTGGCCTTGCTTTATGAATTTGAATATCCTTGATTCGATGACCTCTATATATCATCTAGATGTACATTTTAAAGATACTGCTTATTAAGTAATAAAATTGCTAATGTATTCTCTTATATAAAAGAGTAGTACCGCCTGTAATAAAAACAAAAATGAATTACATCCTCATTTTATTTAGTTTTTAGCTTTTTTTTTCTTAATTGGTTTG